GATTGTAGTTGTCCATTGAAGATATACTGTAGGAATAGTACTTTTTGTTCTACTATACCACTTATTTCTAAAATATATAAAATATAACATTGCATTAACAATTTCTATTGTTATTGCTACAGGAACTGTCATTTTATACAGACATTTTGGCCATACAATGTAGGTTTATCTGCATTGAGTTTTGTTCTAATTTTGTTCTAAATTTCTGTAATAACTTCTACTTGTGTATGTGTACAGCTTGAATTTGTGTATTGTATACAGCTTTGTATTTCATTCATTCATTCATTCATTCATTCATTCATTCGGTCTTTCATCATCATCATCATCATCATCATCATCATCATCATCATCATCATTTTTTGTCTATAATAAGGTCAAATTACTGAAAAACTACATGGAAACTAACTTTAGTCTGATTGTACAAAGAATGCAACTATATTATGACTATAAAAATCCAATTAATTCTCCTGCTGCTCTCGGAATAAGCTTTGTCACTTCTACGATGCCCCAAATACCCTATTATACCTTATAATATTACCTTAGGGACTGTCTTTTCCCAGTTGTTTCTACCTGTCCAATCCAGTCCAGCAGGATGGGCATGATCCGGGTCCCATCAGCCAAGGAATGTTGGCTAGCGGAGATCAGGAGACGTGCCTTTTCCGTTGTGGTGCCTGTTCTCTGGAACATCCTCCTTCCTGAGATTAGGATGACCCTGACCCTTTTGGCTTTTTGGAAGACCTGGCTTTATGCCCGGGCCTGGGGCCACAAGCATGCAAAGGGCCCTGTTTCATGGTTGTGCTGATACTGATGGTTTTTAAAGATCTCTTGGCTGTATTTATACTGTATTTATATTTAATTTTCTGTATTGTTTTAAGTGTTTGACTGTTTTTATTATTGTTAGCTGCCTAGAGCCACTGGTCTGGGATGGGCGGCTATATTAATTGAATGAATGAGTGAGTGAATGAATGAATGAATGAATGAATGAATGAATAAACAAATAAATAAATAAATAAATATTAAAAAGTTCAATATATCTGGAATCAATCTATTTTCAGC